AGTGATCTAGCCACTGAGGTGTTTGAATAATATTTTGAAATGCAGTTCCTGTAGTAAGTTATTGTCGTGCATAGTATCTTCTAAAAGAGTGATATTTTACAGTTCAGTGGTGTGAATGGGGGTGAGAGAGAGACAGAGATACTATAAATTGTGCAAGTAGCTGGCAAAATAATCTGCAGTCTATACATGGCATATATTCTGCTTTCATTATTTCCCACAGGGGAGAAGGACTTCTGAAAACTACTCAAGATTTATTTCATCAAGCAGAGGTAATGTATTTTTAACAAAATAGGAGTTAGACACCCTGAGTGAAGAACAAATTGGAACTTAACTCTCTGGTTCTGTACACATAAGTACAGTGTACCATGAATTGACTGGCAACTGTAGATTTTAATCAGCCTTACTCTGGTACGTACTTTCTGAAAGCTAACTTTTCAGTGTTCCAGTAGCAGCTTAAGACAGCATTCATTAAACTGACAGCTTCCAGTTAAGAGTAGGAATAGCAAACTGGCATTATGGCAAATACAGTGGAATTTAATGCATTAGTAGTAGTCATCGTATCACTTAGCTCAGTCCCCAGTAGTGTTAACAGATACCCCGTCCTAGGTGGAGCAGCAGTACTTTTGTGGGAAAGAAAGAAGATGTAAAAATTTGAATAATACAAACAAAAGGCAAGGGGCCAAATGAAGGAATGTGGCATGATATTTCCAAGATACATGCCCGTGTTGAACGGGAGACTGGTTACCTTTGTCAGGGCAATAAACAACCATGGCAGGTGCCATCTACCCACAGAACTCTTGAGAGCTGCTACAGTGCAAAAAATAATTGGAAGTCCTGGTTTCTTATATGTAAAGGGAAAGACTTTAAACTTTGTTATTCTGGGAGAATGGCAATTTTTAGTGTAGCGTGTTATTTCGGAAGTCATTGCAAACTGCTGACTTGTCAATTATAAATGTACACAACTATCACAAATACTTCCTGCTACCTTTTTGCTTTATAGCATGTTACTTATTAAAACAACAAGGAAAAAGAGCCTCGTCTTTCACTGTGGTTCATTTTGTTACATGCTTTCTCCCCCTTTCAGATTTTTGCTACAGAGGGCACAAAGCTTGCTTCAGCTCTTCATGCCTTTTCTGATCAGGTGACGTATGACCTCTAAAACAGCCATTCATCTTATGACACTGGTGATACTTAATATTGGGAGTCTTTAACACGGAATGATTTTTGTCTTCCTGAAATGCATTTCAGGTGCATGATGATGACAAACCTTTCCTTCTGTTGGAGGCTGAAAAACTGATCTCTATGTGCAAGCAGCTCCAGATAACAGCTAAAGCTTCTGTTCAGGGTAAAAGTGCTACATTTACAAAGGTAAGGTAAAAATTATATATATTCCTGAAAGGAAGACGTAACTTGTTTTGAAATACAGTAACTTAATAATTTATGCTCCTGATAAAATATGAAATGGTTCATGACAGCTGAAATTTTTGGATTGACATAGGACCATAAAAATTAGTAAGTACAAAATTTTATGCTGTTGTGCAAGCATTTTTCTGCTATGCAATATGTCATCATTGCTGTTCCTTATGTAGAAGAGAAATTTACTTCAACTTGAAGTACTGTTTTGCACTTAACATGTTTTGAGAAGCTGATGTGCAAAGTATAGAGAAAGAATGGTAAGAACTGTTCCCCTTGCTGAAAATGTTTTGTCTGCTGGGACATGCCTCACTCATAACTGTAATCCAAGTCATTCACCGCGGTATCTTGTCTCAGGAAGGGATTTCCTTCAGCACGGGTGCTACTGTTTTCTAGCCATTTTTCTTTTTTTTTTCTCCACCCCCCCGCCCTGTCCCCACTACCAGAGAAGGCCTTCAGTGACATTTATCCTGGCCTGACCCCCTCATTCATGCTGAGAGTTTGATAGGAGACAAAATACCCAGCATACATGGAAGCCTGCCAATCAGTAGCTTGGAAAGTATTACTCTACAGGCTTATATGAATGTTTTTAGGGAGCATGGATATCCAAGTTTTATATAACTGGCCCAGTGGCCACAGACGTATCATTAATACTGATGTTTTAAGAATCAGTTTCCCTACCCCTAGATGATCAACTTCAGAGCCTAAGAATCAGTAAAATAAGTAATAGGATTTTTTTCTTTCCTATTACTAAAAGTACTGAAATTATTGTTTGGATTTTGGATTTCACTGTTAGTGAAAGGATTTACAGAAATGTTTCCCAAGACAACGATGTTCCTGGACTGCTCCTAAAAGAGGAAGGTGGAAAGGTGTCTACGGGCTTCCACTACTTTATATTGCTTTTGGCTGCTGAGAACTTTTTTCAAAGAACTGTCAACATGTCCCCCAATGTACCCACTAGATAAAATTCCAGTACCTCTCTATCATGCTGCAACTGAGAATTTTCAGCTGAATGAGATGGAGTAATACTGTATATAGTAATACTGTAATTCACGAGAGTACAGTAATAATACTGTAATCCACTAGAACTTCATTCAGAGAAATATGAACTGTAATTAAGCTTACCTCACTGAGAAAGGACTTCAGTGATCAAAGTATTAATGAAGGTAATATTTATTCCCACCACTGTAATAAATATCGTTACTGATGCTTAACAGAAATGTAACAAATTGCAAACCCCAAAGACTCTATTCCTGAAACACATGCTTGCTTCTCAGTAGGTAGAGAGTCTACCCTAGACTGCCCAGAGTTTATTCTCATATTATTCATATTTATTATAAGTAAATATGTATACAGCTGCCATAAAAGTTTCAGCATTGTTACCAAGAGAAGTAGATCTGCAAACCTTAGCGGGGAAAGGTCAGGCTTTTTGAAGAGCCCCGAGCAGCAGTATGATCAATGTGAGCAAGACCCATTTCTGCGCACCTGGATGTTTGTTTCCAGTGAGCTGTGGAAAAGATGTTTCAGTTTTACAGCAAGGACTGAAACTGGCCAGAGCATCCGAGCCACTCAAACCCAAACTGAGCACCTCAGCACTACAGCTTGGTTTGTTTTACACTCTCTATATAAACTAAATAGGAACTCCAGGCTGTTCATCCAGTGATGTATCACTACATCAAATTAATGTTTGTTGAGGGCCCAGACTTGTGACCTGTGCCAGCTGTTAGACTTGAGGCATAAACTCAAATGCATTAAAATTTCGCTAACTTTTAGTGTAACTTGTACTGGGGCAAGGCTTGAATGATGCATGGCTTTCTGAATCATGCTGGTGGGACATAAGAGGAAAAACATGCATCATACTGAGGTGGGAAGAGCCCCTTTCCAAGACACTTATATTACTGTTTAATATTACATTCTTATTAGTTCCTTCTCCTGGGATGTGTGTCATTCCCTTCTGCTTCCTAGTTCAAGTCTTGGGTTAACAGAAGGGATGCTGTTGCTTTACACGTGCTATATAGAGAAATTCAAAAAAGGTAGGCAAAACCTTTTGATTATAAGGACATCTATTACCTATTCCATCTTGAAATAGATTATAAACTCGTGCATTAAACAATTGCCTAATAAAAGTAATGAGTGGTCTTACTCTGTTCTTAATTGTCTTGTTTAGGTTGATGCATGCATTCTGAAAACAAGGAATGTGATGACTCTCTTATGCCAACTTCTTCCACTTTGCTGCAAATTACTGAGAAAGGCGAGTACTTGACTCGTCTGCAGTATTTTCAAGTTTTTTGGTTTGTCTTTTTTGTTTGGTTGGGGGGTTTTATGACTTTTTTTTTTTTAATTTACAGAATAAAGCAGGAAACGGCTGTCTTAAACCTGCTCCACCATGGAGAGAAGACAGAATACGAACTGGTACAAATGCACATACTCCAGAAAGGAGAGCTGAGACATTTGGCATCAAGTCTTTAGAAAATCATGTAACAAACATGACGTTTTTAGAGAGCAAGTAATTACAGCACTTAGAAACGCAGGAACTCCCATTTGAAAATGACACTTGCTGAATTTTCAATATTGCTTTCATTTGTGGAAAGTCAAATCAGGTTAATTTTAATTAAAACTGTTGACCTTTATCACGTCTAATTAGTAGATGTCCCATTACTTAGCGATTACAACACGAAGTAGTCGATAATTGTTACGTATTTTTATAATGTGAATGCCTTTCCTATGCTCACTATTGATACTAGTTTTGTAATTAATGCTTATGAATGTCTTAATGGATGTTTCAACCCAAAGATGCTGCTAATAGACATTTTATATAAAGAGCCTTGTGCTGCATATGCTATATGTAACACTACTGTTGAAGCGTGCAAAATCATCTCTGGCCTAATTCAGTCTGTATTTGATAAAGCAGAATCGGGCATATGGTCTGAAAGGCTGTGGCTTAAAGCACTGAAACGCTGCCTGAGTTAGGAGTTACACCTGCAGTGAAGGAGCTCTAGGGAAAAAAACCCCTCTTTCAGTAGCTGCACCACCGAATTTTAATCTTGTTGACATGATTCCTATTTCCAAACGTGTATTTCTAAGTGATTAATACTCTTGACTCAAAGCCTTTTACCATCTTCATTTGTAGATGGTAGTTGTTGCTTCCTTTTTTATTAAAACTTACCGAACAGAATTTGGATTGCATGTAGAACCACTGAAGTATTATGTAGACTTTACATTATACCATTTAAAATTTAAGAAAATAGATAGTGATTATGACAAACTTCTGCACAAAGGGCATTATTTTAATTCAGGATGCCATGAAAATACAACCTGGTGTGAAATACTTATTTTTCAAGCTTATCTGCTCTTTCTACACAGGCTTCTGTTGCCTTTTTATTTTCAATTCACCTTTGTCAAACTCCATATTGTGTTAGTTTAGGTAAATTAAGTGACAGCTAAATCATACCATTTTTCTTTATGTATTATGCTTGCAATGAGCAGAAGCAAAGCTGCCCGTGGAACGTAAAATACTCTCCAACAAATCATTCTGTGCTTATTTAAAAACTTGTAGTGCTAGAATTCAGAGAAAAAGAGAAATCAAATTTTAATATACAAACTATTTGAACTGGTTTATTCTTGTATGAATTAAGTGTTCAAGTTCCACTTTTAAAAAGGCGCTAGGCCTTTCAATACCATAAAAGTTACAGTAGACAATAAAAGTAGCTTATTTAGTATCAAATACAAACGATAACTGTATCATTAATTTCATGAAGAGGAATTCCGACGTTTCAGCAAAACTTCCTCGTACTCCTTCTGCGTCAGAAGTCCTTGAGTTATACTCTTGCTTTCTTCAAATTTGGGTAGTACCACTGCGATGTATCCCTCAGTTGATGGCTAAAAAGCAAGACTGAAGTTAGCAGTGAAATAAAAGTTCGAAAATAGAAAGCAAGAAAGTGTCTTACCTTTTCTTGCAGAATAGCGGGATTGCTAAGAATGTTTTCATTCACTTCTATCAGTCGCCCTCGTATACAACTGCGAAAGTGGTTAGATTCAGTAGAAGTGCACGGTATGCCAAGCTAAGAAGAAAAAGGGAAAAACCTCACCTATAAATGGTGTATTCCTCTCCATCTGATGAAGATATCCTGCACAGAGGGGCAAGTTCTGTTAAAAACTGAGCTCCCTGCATTTGAAAAATAAACATACATATATACACTTTTAATTACAGAGGGCTTTTTAAAGTATTGCCATCAGCAACATAAGTTTTGTAAGCTTTTCAGAAGCAAGCAGGGCAGTGTGATAGTTACAGGTCATTGCAAGTTACGCAGCAGTGAAGGGAAGATGCCAACTTAGTTAGGTGCACAAATTGAATAGAAGCTTGTTGGGAGCTTATGAACGGAGTCATGATTAAGTTTCTTGTGGAATAACAGATTTATAGTTTGATCAGATTAAAATCAGGGGAGAGGAGTGAAAACCAGCAACGTTTATTTCAGTGTAACCAGGTTAAACTGTGCATATTGGAAAACCCGCCATGAAGCACACTGAACTAGCCCATCTGCTATCTCTGTCTGTTTGAGAAAAACAATAGTCTCCAGTCCTCGGCCTTTTGGTGGAAAAAATTTTTTTATCCTTTCAGGGATGTTTCCCTCTGTACGCTATGAAAAAAAATTACTAAAAGCAACTGTCAGCTTTGGTTTGAGCAACACTGGAAACCACTGCAACGCTGCAAGACCCCGGCTGGGACAGTTAGGCAGGTACCTCTTGAGAAAGTCTAAATTCTTCAACTGAGGAGGGGCTCTTTTCAAATAAAATGCAAAGGTTAACTTGGTGAGTTTCTAGCCTAGAAAGGACAGAAAGTCTCAGGCAGTGCGAGAGATTAAAATGAAAACTAACCAAACCAACAAGCCATACCCTTTTCGACTTCCCAGAGACCTTATTCTGGAGTCTGCTACAGTTGGCACTGATCTGGTAATTAATGCTTTTAATTGTTTTTCCACTTTGAAGAAGAGGATGGGCTTCTGCCAAGGTGATGACACAGATTCTGCAAAAAAAGAAATATAATTATTACACTGTAGTTGCGAGAAGCCATGCTCTTATGTGCTCTAAGCGAGCTCCACAAACTTCTCTGCCTATCCTGGTAGGATTTTAAACTGCTACTGTCTACTGTATTTGGGCTCCTAATCTAAAATGCTAGCAGCTTACTTTCGCTCTTTAGAGCACACCACTATTCTTCCCTCTGCCGTTTGGCAGGAAAGTTGAGCTGCTTGTTCAGCTTAGTGCAGCGGGAATCACGGGACGGGCACCTGCCAGGCACCGGGGGGAGCAGGGACGGACGGGTCTGGGTGACAGCAGGGGGCTGAGCAGGGGAACCTGAACACAACTGACCTGAGCTAATGAAGGAAAACAGAGGGAAACTGCCAGTTGTGGAGCAGGGACAAATTTTAGTTTTCCACTTACAAAAATGTCAGATACAGGATCAAATCGGACTCACTTTCTTCAGGGCATCTGACTTGACACCTGCTGAGCCAAACTGAATTAAAATTGCATTCTGACCTAAAGGAACCCCCACAGAAAGTGCTTTACTTTGAGTTACTAGACTGGCTCATCAAAAGCAGTACACTTCTCAGTTAAACACAACCACAGCTCTTAAATAAGCTAGAGCTGTTCTACCTGTTGTTGTACCCCATGGGAACATACTTGGTTCACGTTGCTGATAGCCAGATACGACCACCAAGTAATGAATTCACCAAGGTATGCTTTTGTCGGAAAATGTAACACAAGGCAACGTTTCACAGAACAGCTAAAGGCAGTCTGTGGTGAATAGTTACAGCAGCTGAGTCCTTCTGTGATCTGGGCTTTCATTAACCTGCTGCTTGCATTTTATCTTTTATTAAAGGAGGGTTATTTCTTGTCACGAAACTGGAGAGTTTGAGTCAAGCCTGGCTGTAGAGACCAGGCCTATCTTAATCCCTGAGCTAGAACCATGCTTAATGCACAAACAGGCAGGGCCCAGAACTTGCCAACAAATGAACAGAGATGAAGCTATTGTTTGAGAAGAGCTTAAAACCTAGAGCAAGGATGAGGAATCACAGTAACTGTAGAGAAAACCACAGCATGGAGCCGGATCTTTCCCTGCAGATGCTGCATCCATCCCCCTGCATCCCTCTGGCTGCGCAGCTCCCCGCAAGAGGGAGCTGGATCCTGGCAAATGTTCTGCACGTCCCAGCAGCTCAAAGGGACCAGAAAAGCTACCTCCTCTTGACCCCAGCCTCCTTCTACTGGAAAGATAACAAATCATCTACTTGAGCTGTCATCTATTAGAGCCAAGACCTGGCAAAACAAAACATCAACAGAGAATTTTACACTGCTTAGAAATACTGAGCTGAGCCACAGCTCATTGCATAATGTAAATTTTGTTACAGAGCCTTTGGCTGAGCTGCTGTAGAAGCCAAGGGCGCTGATATTTCAGAATTCAAAATAGCAAGATAACCTTACAGACTTTTGAACAAGCGTTTTTACTTCTTTTCCCCCATACCAACAGGATTTAAACTGTTGTTTATACTTGACAATTAGACTAGTAACTGTCTATTTAGCACAAATGTGAGGGTGTCCTTTCTCGCTGTTGCTGTCACACCTGTTATTCCCAGGTACTTGGGATTCTGTTTCCCAAGAACGAGGAAGCGAGCTGCACGCAGGCCCAGAGAGGCCCCTGCACCCAGCACCCCCTGCCTCCCTCTCGGAGCTGGGAACCCCCCGGGAACAGCAAACACCTCCTCATCTTCCCTCAACGCGTGAGCAATCGGTGCTGCCCGGTTTTGTGGGGGCCACAGTTAAGTTCTGAGCTTCCCTCGGGGACTAAACACCCCAGAAAGGCTCACGATGCCACCACCCCCCGCTGCGGGCAGAAGCAGCTTTACCAGGGGGCTGGAGCTGGGGAAGGTAAGGTATGTTATTAGGAGTCCAAAGCAGACAGAGGGTTGATTTATTCCAAATGACTGGATTCCAGCTACATTGAAGTAGAAACAAAGTATGACATTTTATTTCCTATCTTGCGTTCACTGTCTGTAGTACACCAATGTACAATTAAAAGCTATTCATTTGGATACAGAAAAAGGTAAATGTTCAAACTGAGCCAATTTATTTTCTAGAAAACCAAGTTAAAGAGACTACTTATAAATGTCATTATGGAAAAGCCTTTTCAAGTGTTGCTCTTCTGCTACTGAAGGGTCTTGTCAGCAGGAGGGGATGCAGTGACACCAGGGCTGCACTTACAGACGCTCAAGGAGCCTTTTTAAAAATCTGCTGAGCAGCAGGAGGCAGGGGGGGCTAAGAGTCCAGGCTCCTGTTCTTCCTGGAGTAGCAATTAATGAGGATATAAGAAGGCTGAGATGTGTCACCCTCTCATTCCACGCCCCCCCCACCCCCCGGAAAAATCCCGCCTCGCCTGCCCCACCCGAGGCGTTTGAGTAGCGAGCAAGCCGTGCCCACCGCTGCTCCCCGGCAAAGCGGCGGGGGGGGGGGGGGGCTGCGTGGCCCAGCGCCTCGCCACGCCGCTGCGTGGGGCGTGGGGCTTGGGGGGGGGGGGGGGGGGGGGGGGGGGGGGGCGCTGCCGCGTCCAGCCGGGAAACAGCGGCGGTCGCTTCCCTAACGAAAGCCGGCGGCTTCCCAAGCGCCAGGTCCCGGCGGCTCCGGGGGTGACCGCAGGCACCTGTCCCCCCCCCCGTCCCCCCCCCCCCCAACCCGCTCCGTGCCCCCCCGGATCCCCCCCCGGGAGGGCCACTCGCCTGTTGGAGTGCTGCAGCACGCAGAAGTCCTCGCACGGCCGCCCCTTCACGTCTGCAAGAGGCCACAAACACCAGTGACCGCCCCGCCGCTGCCTCCCCGACCCCCCCCCCCCGCCCCAAACTCCTCTCCCCCCCCCCGGCGGTACCTGGCTTGTACCAGCGCGTGAAGTACCGCTCCGCGCCGCCCCCCCCCCCCGCCGCCGCCATGCCGGCCGCCCCGCCCCGCCCCGCGGGCGCGCGGCGATGACGGGCGGGCGGCGGTTCCGGCGGCGGCGGCCCCGCGTCCCGTGTGTCGTGTGTGTGTCCCCCCCCCCCCCCCCCCCCCGGCCACGCGTGTCCCCGGCCCCCCGCGGCCCCGGCCGGCAGCGAGGGAGGAGGCTGCGGGAAGGTGAGAGCGATTCTACGGCAAAACCCCAGCCGCCCCCCCCCCACTGCGTGGGGAAGCAGCCCCAGGGGGAGGCAGCCCTTTTACGAGCTGTAAGGCAATCCAGCTTTACAGGACTCGCCCCCCGAGAAGGTAAACGTAAGATAGAGCTGGCCCTAGCTACATCGGCGAGAGAAACGCTCAAAAACCGGCATTTGGTTCACTGGTTTTATTCTCTCTAGCACAAAGCAATACAGTAACAGCTACAGTGATCACAGATGCACCAAAAAGGTATTTTAAATAATAATAATAATAAAAAAAAAAAATAACGGAAACATCTTTTTGTTTCTTGCTTGTGGCAAACAGAATGACCCGGTTTTTTCCACAGAAACTTCCCTTAGGCAGGTGTCTCAGTCCAGGCAGGGGGAGAGCTGCTGTGACTCCCATTTCTGCCTTGACTGTATTTTACAGACCCACATCCCCACACCCCATCCAGCACCTCCCCCAAGGAGCTGAGGAACCGTACCGGCACCCAAACCCCACCGGCCGGGCAGGAGAGAACTCCCACACCTCTGCTTTGCCACTCACTGCACACAGTAACTGCGCCCGACGCCCCTGCTCTACAAACACAGGTCAAAACCACTAGAAGAACATGTTACAAAAAACCGAGCTTTGATTCCAGCATCGGTGCCTATTCTATTTACCTGCATCTAGCACAGGCACGAAATAAGGCGGCTGTAACGGTGTATAAAATCAAGGTTCGTACCATAATTAAGGTACAGACTGATATACAAAACAGAGACACTTCCATTTATCAGCCGGAATAGGCAGGCATGTTACACACTGTTGCAGAAAAATATGTGCATAAAAATAAATGGCTGCTTAGAGGCTCTGCCCCATCACTTTGCCAAATCATGAGTATTTTCAATGCGAGCACATTGCAACAGATGCGGATTCTTTATAAGGCTGACAAAAAAAAAAAAAAAAAAATAACCAACAAAACACCAAACCACAAACATGTCCTCTTGCTGGTACAAACCCACAGCAGGTTTCAGTCTACAGTCTTCTGAATGACTAGTTCGGACAGCTGTCCATCACAGACAGCTCACCATCAAAGATTAACGAGCACCAAATGGGTGGGATATGCTTGTGTCCAGCTTACCCAGCCACTTCTGCCCACATGCTCTAAAAGCAATTTATTTTTCATGTTATTACATTAGCAACGTGTTCTGATATGCAGATATTTTAATGTCAGTGGATTACATCCAAAGCCAGCCAAGAATCCATTGGAAACACTGACTGAAATTTGTAGATTTATCTCTGTCATAGGTCTTAAAATTTCTTGGGCAACACTAGGCTGTATGCCTGCTTCCTCTGTCACCCCCAGCACCTGGAGAAGCCCAGCTGAACAAGCAGTTATTAAGGTTGCAGGCTAACAGAAACCACTAGTAAAAAATTCAAAATTAACTGAGCCCACCCAAGTCTGAAATCCCTCATGACCAGAGCTCTGTACCAGCTGAGGGTGCGCCACAGAAGGTGACGGACGCACCACGGGCTGAAGCACACTGACTGGAGGGTGCTTCACCAGAGCACAGGCAGACACGGTGCCCAAGCCCTACAAAACCCACGAGGATGCAGTGAGGTTGCCTCTCAGACACTGCACTTCAGCAGAACAGAGCTGTGAGGGAAAAAGTCTTTACTTTTTTTTTTTTTTTTTTCCCCACCCAGGAACACATCTTGCTTGTGGGGAGCATTAGAGGAGCACAAACTGAGGCACGTCAGCTGACTGTGACCAGCACCATCACCCTAACAAAGGCAAGGTGCATTTAGACAGGGCAGGGTCAAATCAGACCACTCCAAAGGGTGACACATTCAACTGCAATGAAGAGACATCAGGAAGAAACATCCAGAGGAAAAGCTGCCCGTTTTGGGGAGATCTGGAATGAGGTGGGACTGCCAAGACGGGAGGTCAGTGAAAATGCAGTCGTCAAGGCATGAAAAATTCCATTTTGACAGGTTTAGGGAATGTACGTGTGTCAGCATGGCTGTTTTGAACTTACTTGTTTTGCTAAAGAACAAAGCAGTGATGTGCACATGCCAGAAACGAAATGGCTTTCGACGAGCCAAAGATTATGGCATTCAAGAACTACAGGTAGCAAAGGAAAGATGAAGATCAGCAGGTAGGTTTTAGGCAGAGTTTAGCTACGGCAGTGTCAAGCAAGGAGCATAGCACAGGTAAAGGCAGAAGTATCATAAAGAGCTTAGACTGAAAAAACAAGTTACTTTGTCTCTTCAGAGAGTTCAAATAAGCTAAGTTTAAGAACATGGAAGATACAGAAGCAAGGGGTAGATACCTATCTATTTTTCATCCTACTCACAGATACTACTAATTGAAGCTTGGGAACACTAACACCTGACTGCTATAGAAGAGTACAGGAAGGGTGATCAAGGAGATGCTACAAAAATGCAGCAGCCTGCTACTATACTGGGGCACAACCCCTGTGTTCAGAGGTGTGCTTCTAACAAAAAGTCCAAAGGCTTATTCTGTGCCTGTTGCATTTTGATTAAAAGACATACAAAATGTAAAGATATACAAAATAAGAAGTGCTTGATGAAGGGAAGGAACACACCTCTGCTTTGTCCGCGTTCTTGTTAGAGATGAAAGCCCGAGGACCCAGAGTAGCTTCTAGTGATGGAAAGTCAAGTTGGGGGGAAGAAAAGGAGTGCTTCCAAAAGAGGAGATACCCAGGTTCGTACATGTGCAGGTCTGGGGGAGCTGCTAAGACTGCAGCACAGTTTAGGGGTCCCCTCAGGATGCATCAGCAGAGCTGAAGGCAGTATGCCTTTCTCTACCCCCTGACTTCAAAGGAGGCAAGGAACACGATTTCATCACTAGGGGCAGAAGATTAAATCTCAGTCTTACTAACCTGAGGAAAGACTGAAGGAGGAAGAAAAGCTAATATTCCACTGGCTGCAAAAACTCCTGCAATCCCCCTTTCTTAACTAGTACGGCAAACCCCAAAACTTCTCAAGTTATTCCAAACGTCCATTTCTGAGGGGATAGAGTAGTTTTGACTTTCACTGTATGACAGACCAACATATGCCAGACCATTTAACCTGTCAGATAAGGTATTATCAAACACTCCCTCTTTTCCCCCTTGCTCAAGCTTCTTATTCAGCTGATTTGAAGCAGTGGTAGAGAGGAATAAGAAGTAAGTTCTAATTGTTGTATTTCTGGGATTTTTAAAGCTAGATAGTTAAGACAGCATAATTCTGTTGCTCCTATAAAAAGCTGTCTAATGTTCACCTTCCCTGCAAATGCAGAATTCATTTATTTTGCCATTGTCTTTTTCATCGTTCTCTTTCCTTCAGTTACTTTCAGAGTGGTTAAAATATTAAGACTGTAAGCTCAAACTACACACGTATATACTTATAATTATCCCTAACGTGCTGCTTCCCTGCAGATCCTGTCAAAGAAATTTTGCTATTTTGGATTTCTCAGCTTTAGTTGTTGCAAAGAATAGAACTGTTCTGCAAGCACAGGTTTGTGTGCAATCACACTGGACTGGAAGTAGTCAGCGCTCCCACTCAGCTCAGCTCCCAAAGTAAATCAACACTTTACTTAGGGAAGCTGATAGATGTAGTAAATGACTCTGTGTCAGCCTGTAGCACTCCTCCCCTTCTATCAAGCAGACTTTAATACACCTTTGCCATTTCAGGCAGCATAAACGGGATACAGTACTATGTTAAAAGTCTTTTTGATGGAATTTGCATAGATTAGAGCTATCTCTTATAATCTAATCGCTGTCTTTTTGTTGCTGATTTGAGAAACCTGTGAAGAGCAACTCATATCAGAAAGGATGAAACAAGTAAAACATTTGGTGTAAATGCTTCAAACAGGATTTCACAAGAATTTGTTTGGAATAGAAACCAACTGAAATAAGACACAAAAAATGGTATTGAGAGAAGAACCACTGCAAAAAGGATGGAGTGGATCTGCCACTCTGTGTAAAGTAGGTGGATGCAGAAGATGAGTTTCTACAAATATAAACACATGCTGCATCTTACATGTCTTTTTCTTGTTTTACACTGCTCACTGTGCTTTGTATCCACTGATTCTGATTGTGCTAAAATAAAAACCCACTGTTTTATTTCTTTAAACTGAAAAAAACACTGAAGTAAAAAAGTTACATATAATTACATACAGCAAATAAATTTACTAAAAAAACCACCCCTAACCCCGCAGACAATACTCCTTTAATAGATTTGGAACTTTTGCCATGTTTTACTAAGTAAAACTTTCCACAGTACCATATGCAATGCTAAATCCTAAGCAAAAAAACACCCAAACAAACACAACTTATAGTGTTCATTTCTGTAAGAGGGGGAAAGGAAGGAGCGAAAGCACACCAATAAAATACCTAGTCTATATCAAACGTACCTCTCCATTAGAGAATTTCATATAAAAACCCCTACCACTTATAATTTAACACCAAGCTCTCTTCCTGGCAACCAGGATTACAGGTTTATGCTGAAGACAATCTTATGTTCAAATACGGAGATAAGCAGCATTATCCCAAAGCCTAACAGAATCCCAGCGTTCTGTAACAGGAAGTATCCCCAGCGGCTACATCCATGATCACTGGCATCATTGTGGAGCATTTCAGGTACCTAAACAAACAAGAAAGTGTTAAATGCCTGCAAAATAACCAGCCACGTCAGAGTTCCTCAACCACGAGGCAGCGGAGTCTTAGTCCTCTGGTCCTTCCCGTTGACTGTATTAATCCTATTCCTTGAATTAGGTGTCTCTCAACATGAACACTGTCAGTCTACTTTCATATTTAGAGACAATCTGTAGTGTTCTAATTACTGTTTTCATGACAATTATGCTGATGTCTTAAGCCAGCCATTTACTCAGGATATGATTATTTGCCAACTTATTTAATCAAGATAATAATAAAAATTATTGGTGTAAGATAATTAAGCTTTCACAAACACCCACCAAATACACTGTATTTCTGAGGTACAGTATAGGTTTTAATACAATTCTGACTTCATTCCAGGCAGCAGTAATGATCTAATGCAAAAGCCAAAGCACATTTGGTGGTACCAGTGTTTAACTTGCAGTCTTACCAGCTATCTGCTATACTAGCCACCATCAGAAACAAAATTTTTTTCTCTACTTCTTTAGTTGTTAAATAGAGGCAGTTAACAGCAGGAGAAACAATCTGTGTTCCCTTAGTAATCTAAATAAAAGCAACCTTCCACCTGAACCTTTAAACAAGCACTTACACTGCATACTCATAAGCACCTTCAAGCGCAGAAAAAGTTGAGGGAGAAGAGATGAAAGAATTTATTGAGATCAAAATATAATTAGCACTCATTCTTAAACAGTGTTATATAAAATTCAAGTAGGTCTAGCCACTTACCATATCCACAAGAGCCACGTACATGAACAAGCCAGCAGTAAGTGCAAATATCCACATTGAAACATTGTCTGCATAATGACCAATAAGAATTCCAGTCGCCATTCCAAGATAGGCCAGCATAGCTGACAGAGCATTATAAAGCACAGCTTGCTTGACAGTCATACCAGCTTTCAGAAGTACAGCAAAATCTCCTACAAGACAGAAAAAGTTTCCATCTTCAGTTAACTACTGTGGTATTCAGGAGTTCTCTTTCTTACAAGATTAGTAAGCTGTTTTTACGCTGTCGTCAGCCTTAGGTTTTTTCCTTCATACAATCACAAATCACAGAGGGACAGAAAATTAGGAAGCGCACATGAAGAACAACACAGCAGCAAACGTCAGTTTATAACCTTAAAGTCTTAGGATTTTCAGAAGCAGCAGCTTTTACTGTAGTTTGCATTCAAACCAACATTATAAAATACTGCAGCACCTGATACGTATGAGCATTCTAAAGAAGTTTCTAAAATAAAATATTTCCACTTAATTGCATAAAGCAGTGGTGATGATTCCATTTATGATCCTGTAACTGCTCTTTGTATTTTAAGTCTAGCTGTTTCATAAATTTATAATTTCTTTATTAATTTCTGTAAGTGATCCTTAACATCTCATTTTTGCTTGAAGGAATGATAGATTACCAGCCAGAAACAGGTTTTCCATAATTCAGAATAGAAATGTTTTTGTTTAGATAAATTAGATCTAAACCAGAGTAAAATAAAATAAGCTTATTATTTGGAAATAAAATGGATTCTATATAAAAAAAAAAAGTAAGTTATCTCCTGTTATAAGTAAACAAAAGCAATCTTCAAAGCTGAGTTATTTGTTACAGCAGCTTTTCCCACAAGATATTGCAATTAAGATGAACCAGTACGTTACGTTGTTTAGCATTAACACCCATGATCCAATTTGATCCCCAGCTAACTTCAACTAGTCCCATTTGTTTCAGTATTCCTATGCCACTTCATGTCTTCTGTTAAAGAAGGTATTTCTATCAAGTTTTCTGTGCTGATTAAAGTATGACTTAAATCAAAAGATTTTTCTTCCTTCCAAAACCAACAGAATATTTGAATCTAAAATTATCAGATTCATAACATGTATTTTGTATATTTGTACTAGCAATGTTTAGTACATGTAATTAATACAAGTTCCATGATTCCCATGGAATTGATATTAAGATGAACAAGACTCAGTTTCTCCCATGTCATAAACCCAGGTATGTTTTCTCCAGAGTAATGTATTTCTGTATAACATTATTGCACAAACAAATATATCAAACTGTTTAATAGTTTGATTACACACATACTGGTTTACAAGCTCCATTCAACAAAACTGAACATTCTACTTTCTAGGGAATTAAAACCTTAAAAGAGTGCAAGTAAACTGATCTTTCCTCATTTTATGCAGCAGGTATGACTGTGGCCATGACAGCTAAGAAAGAAAGAGCAGCTGCACATTCAAAAATGATTCAACAATTGGTAAGATCAGCTTCGTTCTGAGTTAAACTAAGCAGCTACATCCTGGTTTCATGAGCTGTGCTACAAAAGGGCCAAATACTAAGCTTACAACATAAGACACATTCACTCCCATGAGAAATTATGGTCATGAATTTAAATCATGAGCTTGAAAGACAAACTGTTTCTAGGAAAGATTTCTAAGCAGTACCAAGTTTAATTTAGAGCTGCAGCAGTTCTTTGCAAGACTTAATGAAAAAGCAGCAAATGTTACACAGAAGGGAGTTTGATGAATTGTAACCTACCTTTTAACAGCACAAACACAAGAATAAAATTAAACAGGTATGTGAGAAAGCAAATTCCGACATTCTGCAATTCACAATTTACATTTCTAAGGAGAATAAAAACACCTGTACTGTACAAGTGGTAAGTAACTGCAAGAGACACACTGAGTTTTAAATAAAGTAGCTGCAATATTTGATTTTTAAAAGGAAGATTAATTCAATTAAGAAATAAAACAGTTGAAGTATTCTTCAGTACATCTGACACAGATTAAGTTTTCTGACCAAACTTTACTGTGCCACAGAATAAAAATCACTTACAGTTTTCCAAAGTGCACCTGTAAGTACCTATACCTGAGGCATATGGAAATACTGGGAGTCTTACCTAGCTCGTGAGGTAATTCATGGCAAAATACAGCCACAGAAGTGCTTAAACCACTAGATAAACCTTCAGTAAAGGCTGCTCCTATGAAGAGACAGGGGAAAAAAAAAAAAAAAGCAACATTACTGCATATTCAGACATCAAGTGCAGAAGCATTGTTGCACATGCTTGCATCAGATTAGGACATACTGGTTTCACTGATTTTTCTTATGCTTGTGGAAGCATTTAAATTTTAACTGAACAGCTGTTTATCAATCATAAATTTTAAAATCAGAAGCAACACAGAATCCTCCAATTGAAGTAAAACAAATTTCACTACCTTATTTCTGAACTAAGCCCAGTACCTTCCAACAACAAAAAATGCAATACATGGAAATACTGTCAGAAAAAAACCCCTTTTTTTAAGAAGATACAAAGGTAAGAAGGCAGCTCAGCTGCCTCAAAGTCAGGCATTAGAAAAAAGGAAGTCAGTTCAACAGTAAGAGGGGCTACATAGTCAAATGAAATCCGCAGTGGAAGATACGTGCAAGCTGCATAGAATTCAAAGTGAACTATCATACTTTAAGTGGAAGAACAAGCACACAAACACCCGTTAAACTAGTCCAGCAGTCCTCATCTTCCTTGTTTTCTCCACTCCTGTTGCTTGCTCTTCTTCTTATTTGACAGCAGCTCAGGAGGCAGCAGCGTGCGGCAGGGCTGCAGTGCTGAACCACAGCTCACACACAGCTCTGGAGGTCCCCGGCTGCCTGGGGAGCCTCACGGAGCAGCACCACATCCAGCTTCCTCTTCTGCTGCTACTAGGAGCGTGCCAGCAAACAAGGTGCTGCCAATAAGCAGTCCAAGAGGCACAAGGCCACGTCGCAGCACTCGGCGCGCAAGGGACCCGGCAGTGCTGCTCACAGAGGAAGAGCTGCAGCGGTGATGAGACCACAGGACACATTCCCCTCTCCTCTCTGCTGGGGCTGCCACCCCCAGTACTCCAGCAGCCTCCACTCGGGTGTAACTGCTGAGGATGGACACCGGACTAAGGGGTGGTTAACAGCAGCTTTTAAGTACTTTTAGTGAAGTCACAAATACAAAGGAGCCTAACTCTTCGAAGCAGTGACGGACGACACAGAGGGAGAGGCTGCAAATAACATTTTGGAAGCTTTGGGCTGGACACAGATAAAACTTTCCTTAAGAGACAGTAGGTCAGCCACGGACATGGTGGATTCTCCCCATCTGTGGAAGTTTGAGGCTTTTTGCAAAGCTGTCACTGACCCAACCTAGTGTGCCCATGAGCTGTTTCAAGCAGAGGGTTTGACTAGATGACCTCTAGAATTCACCCATTTCTGTGACTATTTGTGAAGTCCAATTCAGAGATGCACGGCATGCAAGACAAAAGCCATTTTGACTTGAGCAGCAGTATTTTCCACTGCATGCTAAAACATTCAGTCACAGTAGTCTACAGAGTAATTAACAGGTAAGTGACAGGAGTTACTGCCGCCTGACTAGCAAAAGGCTATTAGTGAACACTATCAATCTTTTCTAGGTATCAGTCTGTTTCCCCCACCTCCAAACATTGCTTTATAGTTTTGGAGTCAGATTTTGAGAGAGGAGAGGATAGCTACAGTTATCTCCTACTAAGACAGGAGAATTCATCACCGTTCAGTCAGGCTTCAGCTTGAGAAGACTGGAAAAGCAGAAGGCAGCAGAAAGTAATTGCCTTCTCTCATGCCTGCATCCTAAATAAGCTACAGGTTTCTTTAGTGTCTTCCCAGTCTCACCACTTAACTAGAGGAAAACTAAAAATACAAGAATCCAGCTTAATCGCACATGGTAAATCTAATTTGGGGACCACAAAGGCAAGCCAAACAAAACCAGACTGCTTTGCGAAATACCTAAGGTGGCCGATAAGGCTGTATACTGTACAGATACATAGCAACTGAAGTACAAGCTTAAGTAACAGGAATATCTATTTTTATTTTTCACTGCTAGAGAGATGTCTTGAAACATTAACTAATTGAAGACTACATGAATATATCTGGCATTATCCCCTCTTGAGAAGTTGATTTAATAGTGTCATGGGATCTTAAAATATACTTTTTAGACATCACTTCTCTCAAAAAAGAGCTAAAGAAAAAAATACATACGCAAGATTAGTGTAAAAATAGTGCTCTACATTTTAGTTATTTAGTTGAAGCTACACGTAAAAGTTCAAATCACAGAAGATCATTCTGTACAAATTAGTCAGATGCAACTGTTCCCTGCTTTAATAGAAAAATACGTACTTTTAAATTTTATTCCTACTTAATTAGCATACCAGATTTGAGGAAAAAAGTAACTGATGGAAGTTATGAACAAATACCATGAAAAGAACGAACTTAAGTGAAGGGTTACTCTGACTAAAGCCATCTTCACAGAAGCATTCACATCTTCATTTAAATACAGGTAAAATACTATACAGGTAGTACTAGCTTTTCTACAACATCATCAAAACAATGTTTATCCATAATATTTTTGAACTCATCCAGAACTGAAGGAAACCCACATTTCCATTATCCTGAACAAGCTACACAGCAGGACTTCTAAAACCTACTGCTCTCACTTGTTCAATAAGCCTTTATTAACCTTCCTCATACTTTTCCCTTCACAACTATAAAGTCATAGCTCTTTCCCAAATCTCCCTAACGCTAAGAGGTAATTGATTCTGTGTGTCATTTGTATGCAAATCCTCCTCCTACCACATTTTCACTCCTGATCTGCTCGGAAATTTACCTTCCATGCTTCAACTTCCATCAAAAATTAGATTAAATCAGAAAGTCTCTTTTCACATTATACTTTGAATTGACTGAATCTGAGCAACTGCAAATACTGCTGTGAGAAAATAATTATTGGGTTTTCTCTTCAAACAAGAATGAACTTGTTTCTACAATAAAATCCACAGAAAGATTGATACTGCTGAACTGACCCCAGTATGCTATACAAGCTGGATATTAATCCAATACCTCTAAAGATTAGTCTTAAATACTAAAGTCAAGATTCTGAAAGACTAGCATAAGAACTGAAGATTACTGATTTAGCTTTACTTTCTCTAGCTTACTTTAACCTTTTAAATTTAAAATACATGTAAATTTAAATTTTTAAATTTAAAATACCTATTATTTTTCCTAGGAAAAAAACAAGGGAGTTCCCAAACCTGACTTCCCAGGCAGAAGTCAAAACATAATGCTCAATCTGTTATTTTTATGATAAAGAAATATTTTCACTAAAGCATTGTCAAAAAAGACTGAACTGCAACATGTAAGGAAAAAACAGGGACATGAACAAAAAGATAAATGTTCTGTTTACATGTAAAGTAACTGTTTATACTGGTTTAAATTTAAAAAAAAAAAAAAGACACATAGAAAATGGACTATTATGCTCAACTTTAAGAACAAAGTTTTGAATAGAGTATGACCAGTGTTTAAGAAAACAAGACTTTTTAAAAATACTGTTCCAACAAGAGATTGAGCCTAGCACCCTGAGCATCTGAAGGAATCCACTTATGCTACACTCTAATTGATATCGACACTCAATCAAAAAATCTGCATAAAGGCAACACAGAGTAGCTTTATTGGCATCTTCTCCATGCATCTTATTTCTGACAGGTAACAGCTAACTAATGTCCTATTAATTAAACGCCCTACTCTCACATTCCTAGGATGTAAAGAGCAGCACAGACCTTCTCTGGGAAGTTAGTACAAGCACTGGGAAAAACTGTAATGCTGCTCTAGTGGACAGCAAGATCTGAGAATCTGGATGTGACAGGACTGCTACACAGAAGTGCAGAAGTGCCTTAGAGAACACGGTATCTCAGACCAAATTCATTTTACAATAAATGCCGACCTCCCAGAGCACACAAATCACACATATATATTGCTTAATCCATCTGGGTAATCTTCAGGCTAAAGCAGATTGAAACCAAGGTCCCATCTCCCTCCTCACCAGCGCTCTGGGGAAACTTACATATGATGTTTAACCAGGGACCACTACAGGCAAAGCCTGATGTTCAAAGGACAGAACCTGACCTTGCTGCATAACAAGTGAAGATGGAAGGGAAAAAGAAATAAAGACCAATGATGCTAGTGCCCTGACTGAAGTAGAAAAACAACAGTTACTTTATATGTGACCAAAAAGACAAGCTTGTCTTGAAAAAAAAAAAAATTGCTGAGCACTTGCAGGCATTGAAATACAAAGCCATCTCAAAGTCCCAAATATTGTCTTATAAGCCTAGCTTTAGTTTTGAAAAATGTTAGTATTAACTTTGCTAAAACTAGGAAATAGAGCTAAGTTTAAAAATTTCCTAAAGAAACACAGCTGTAAGGACAAAATTTCTGTTGCATTCATCACTGATCTCCAGGTTATTAATCTGAAGATTGTTCTTATTCAAAACTGCTATCAGATAAAAGTTTAGGCTTCAGAGATCCACCACTAAGTAGTTATGTTCCTAATAAAGAGTCAAGTGACAGCAAGAAGACTTTGATGTCCTCACACACAACAAAGCTGCAGCGTCCAAGCTAACACTTACCAATTGCTAGGCCATCACTAAAATTGTGTAGTCCATCTCCCATAATCACCATCCATGCCAGAGTTGCTATCCCCGCATCCTTCAGTTCTTCACGTGAGTAGCGCTGACTGTGACTGTGGGGATGATGGTTCTGATGATGATGGTGATGCAGAATATGATGGTAGTCATGGTGATGATGACTAAGATGATCTGTTTGTCCCAGAGTATCGTGTAAGTGAGAATGACATTTGTTTCTACAGCCCCTGGACACATATTCATTGTCAACCTCCTCTTGATGAGAACGAGCTATCATTACTTCTTCTTCTTCTTGTACAGTTGGCTGCTGAGAAATGAAGGGCGATGGATCTTGAGAATCTGTCCCTAGATAGCCTTCAGGCCCTGTTACAAAAACCCAGAGTATAATATTACACACTTTTTAAATCATCTAGGAAGCAAAGATACAATAAACAAGTTGAATAAGTGATGCAGTGAAGAAGAAATGAGTACATCTAGAAGTTAAGACTGATACTCCAGCTTCTTGTACCAGAAGCTTTTCTTCCCCAAGGGTTTCCACAACTTATTTTTCTTTAATCAGATTTCTGAGATAATTACAATAGTTCAAAATAAGAAATACTGTTAGCTTCTGTTCCCTATTACTGGAGCAGCACCTACATTATGGCCACAAATGGTTCCTAAAAGGTAAAAAATGCCTTTAGTCTAAGACCTAGTGCAATTTAAACACAACTGCACAAGGCTCTGTGTCCCACTTTCACAGCATGAAGGCTGTTAGTTCAATTGCTTCAGAAAGGTGAAGTGTCTGGAAAGCACATGCCATTTATTCATCGTAGGGCTGAACAATAAGAATGCAGAAGAACATTATGCTACAGATAATTTTGGAAACCCCTGTAGTTCATATAAATACAGGAGCTTAAGTTTGAACATCTGAAAAATAAAGTCAAAAATAGTCATCAACATAAAACATGAAACACCCTCATATAAACATCAGTGGTACACTAAGGTTAGTTACTTTAACTAACTCCTAAAACTTGCAAAATTCTTCCCCTGCAATTAAACAAACAAATACAGGTTTTTTTCCCTGCATCACTAACAACTCTTTCATCAGTTATAAGATTATTTTGATAAACTGAGTACCTCTTAGCTATGACAGCTAACAATCCTCTAGTGAGGTGTTTTGGTTTACAGCATGACCTTGAAGTCCAAATACTTTAAGTAACCTCTACGATTTTAGATTATCAACCTTACAAATAAATAAATACACAAACTAACACAATCCAGACTTAAGTTATACAGAAATCTAAATAATAACCACATGTAAGATCTAACAGTCCGAAGTGCAGAAGCCAGAAGGTACAGATATATTTGCAACAGTCATAGCCAGAAGAGCTTCACAGAATGACTTCAACTTCTGCTGTTAAATCCAGAATTAAAGACTTAATGCTTCAAAACTGTGAACTCGCTACTTCTAACCTACTGATCCTTTTCAAAGGAAAGTAGAAAACAGAGTAGTCCTCTACATATCAATGCACAGACAGGTTTTGTCTTGAAAGAAATTCAAGTAGGTAGTGATCCGATCTACAGTGAGAAACAGATCTGTGAGCTGCCATCATTGAGGTTTTTTAAACAGTGCTGCCACAAAATAGCAACTGTGTAGTATCACTGAGACTTACGATCATCTGCGTCTAGCTTTTCTTCATTCGCTGAAAACTTCTTACTTTCTCCATCATCTTCATTTTTTTTCTTATTCCAAAAGAAAATACTGTAGTTACAAATATTTTACTTATTTTTCAGGATATACATGGGCAACATTATACTCACACCATTTATGCAGCCTCCACAGAAAGAGGACAACATGGAAGCCATATAAAGAGGAAGAGGAACAAACCCAGCTAAAAACAGTAAGACAACAGTTCCTCAGGGTGCATAGAAAGAAAAAAAACAAAACAACACAACCCACACACATAAATACCCCATATTTTTTCAAGAGGAAAAGCAGAGGCATTCATCTGAGAAGCAAAACACAAATACCAAGTAAGTTATTCCACTAATACTTTTCCATTGTAATGTCAGTATAACCTTTTTTTACTACTGTACTGAAGGAAAACCACATAAAACCTCTAATCATTGCTCACTAATGTCTGTATCACAACAATTTATGATCAGTGACTCGGTATCTAGAGCAGTATAACTGGTCTTAACAGGAAATCTATTCCCAGCAGCTGAGAGGACGCAGAAAATACTTGCTTTGCTTGGAACTCTTCATGTCCTCTTGGCAAATAAGTGTAACTTGGAATAGGGAAATCAATCCTGTCACCTGCAGTTAAGTTTAGCTTCAGTATAAACCACACCAACACAACATCCCGTGACACAAATCAAAAAGCTTACATTTGCTCCGAGACTGCTGCCTTAATGACCAATTTAACAAGAATACTAAAGAGATTATTAGTCATTGTGGTATCTTAAAAATAGATAATTTCTAGGCCTAATAATTAGTGGTTTACTAACTTTCTTCAAGCAAAGCTTAAGATATAGTTTCCAGCTTTCACTGCGTCTTTTTTTACTGAGTCAACTTTTACATTGTTGTTTATCCCTGGATACACTAGTCTTTAAAGAACTCTGTTACCAAAAATTGGTAAGTTACCAACATTTATGACCTGCCAAAATTTAGTTGTTATTTACCTTCCACATAAAAACCAGCATAGTAATCTGAAAGCTGTATTGCTCTTTTTTTGAGGTGAGAGAAGGGAAAGAAACAAGGGGCTTGGCAGACTGTATTTCCAAATGGAACACCATCTATGCAGTCACTTTCTACAGTGTAGTTGGATGCTTATTTATGTAAGCACTTACTGCCACCTTTACCCATTTTGTGCAAGTCTGCCCCTCAGGAGTACAGTAACTGTATTGAGGCCATCTTGTTTCATTCAATACGAGAATCAAAATAACAACAGTTCAGGTAATCTGTTATATAATCACCTTGAGATGTCAGAATGAAGTCAACCATGACCAGTAATTTATTAAATCACTCTGCTAAAACAATGGGTGCAATTGGATTGGTGCTTATTAAACAATCCACTGTTGCGTCAAGACTGTGCTACATGTCCGGTTAAGGAAACAGCTCAGGGCTCTCCCATAACAGGACCACACAAAAAAAATATCACGTAGTTAGTTTAGAAGTATACATGTCATTTCTATAAATTAAAAACACTAATCAAGTCAATCGCTATTAAATCCAGACATATACGATACTCAAAAGTTTTTTATAAGTGTATTCACAAAATAATCATGCAATACAACATAGCTTCAAAGTAATAGTTTTTCTACCTTTTTCTTCTTGTCTTTAAACTGCTTTATTAATGTGATCAAATGCTCCACTAGAAACATGAAATACAAGCCTCCAAGTGCTGTAAGTCCCTTCCATGTAGAATCCAGGTAAGCACTCTCCTCCATACTTTGAAAAACAAGATGTTTGAACATAGAGCCTTTGTTTTGCTCAAGCAAAGGCTTTTCATGGTGATGGTGATGGTTTCCATGAGACTAAGGGGAGAACCAAATGAGGAAAGTCATTATATTCAAAAGAACTGATAAGAAACATAGAAAGTATTCTTCACATTCTTTTCCTCCAGTCTGGAGTCCTGACAGACTTGACAATTTTCATGGGGTAAATACTCTGGATACAAACTCAAACAATTACACAAAAATCTGTTGATAGGAAGAAACACTGCATGGAGTGAGAGTAGGCCTGGTATTCACCCTCTCACTGAATCTACATGCATACTGCTCAATATTCGATGTACAGCTGCCCCCACAGAAATTCCTGACACTGTCAAGGAAACTGCATTTTAAGTAGCAGTCACAGCCAGCACACCAATTACTTTCCCATCTATGACAGCTCATAGACATCAAACACCTTTTTCTACAAGGAACTTAACAGTAATTTTCTTCATTAAAGAAAGTCTGACATTCTTCTCACTGGCTACTGATACATTTGGAACCAAAACACTTCTAGGATGCCTCACTCGCACATTTAGATTTACATAACATCACATAGGAAATACAAAACAAACTGAAAGGAAAAAAGAAGAACCCAATGAATTACAGGCATGGATCAGAAACCACCACAGGATCTGCAGTCCTTTTTATCCATTTTATCTGAAAGCTGGAACAAGTTATCTTTGGTGGGTGGGGGAATGTCTGTTTAAGAGCTTCAAAAAAGGCAGAGATTTAACAATCATATTCCAATTTCATTGACCATTTTACATAACACCAATATGTAACTTCAAAGTCTATCAAGTAATGTTTTCCCAGGACTTCAGAAATGCTTGATTCTGATTAAAAAATTACAAGGGATAAGGAATCAACATAAGTGCCTGAAAACAGTGGATTATCTATTCCACATTCAAAGTGTACATTGAGCGATTTCCACTATAAAGTTCATTAAACTGGAAAAAGAAAATAAAGAGGCAGCATTGCAGTAAGTGACTAAAAACATTTACACAAAATTCTTGCATGCAAGTAACAATGAGTGATTTGGCAGAATATATGATTAAGAACAAGGAATAGATTGAGGGATAATGCCATGAAGTTCTTGCACTGTAAAGATAGTGAAATGAATAATACAAAACAGTTCCAAATGGGAAGACTTTCCCTCAAATAATCTACCTTACAAGACTGAGAAATGACTCACCAAATTGTAATTAAAAGGGGTTAAAATTATCACTAAGCAGTACAGACAGGTGTCAAATTCTCTGCTTTGAGATAATGAACAAAACAGTGATTAATACTTACATGTGGAAGGAGATGTAGGAAGGCATCTCCACTCAAAGTCCCCACAGCCAATGCCACAAGAAAACTTAGAAGGAATTTGAAAAATACACGATTCATCAGCGGTACCAATATAACACCCAATAAGGAAAGAAAACTGATGACGGAAATGGATATAAAGCCACCAATCCAAGCTGGTAAAAAAAAAAAAGAAGTTGTAAGAATAAAACACAGTTGTATGAGATTTTGTTTGCTTAACATTCCTGCTATCAAACACTCCCAATCATTCAATTAATCAGATGTTAACAAATGGTATGCCATAAAGATGTCTCACTAGGCAGGGTCAAGTGCCAAAAAAACAAACTTCTTTCAACTTTGAAATATGTTTCTCAGATGCATAACCAACATAAATGGGTTTCCAATAAGCTTTTATTCCATGTTAAAAAAAAAGAAAACCTACCTATTTGCAGAGAGTAACTTTTTGGAGGAGTTTCAGCTTTTTCACTAGTTGCATGGACTATGCAGTATTTGCCATCAATCTGATTAATAAGAGCTGGACAGAGGTAACTAAATTCTGTAGCAGTCAACAATACTTGAGTGCCTATACCATGGAACTGCATCAGTTTTGATGCGCTGGAGCACTGTAGAAAGACACATTAAAGATTAGCCAGAACCAAAATACCTGATCTATCAAGAGAACTGCACATCCCATTTTAATTGAAACGCAGTGGCACCACATGAACACAGCTATATCAATGGTAATTAAAAACTGCTAACAAACTAATTTAGTAAGAACTGTACCTCCACTCCCATACCGGCCCAGAAAGCTCGTTTGGGAGGCCTGGTAGACAACTCATAATTATGAGTCATTCTCAGCACAACAGGGTGAGATGCTTTGCTGTGCAATCAGGAAAAGCCTAGCACTTTTCACTCAGTTTTAAGAGGCCATGTAAGGAGGTAGTAACAAGGTTAAATACTTTTTTTTACAGAAGTGACTTTATACAGACTATGGAAAGCCTTGTAGAGAATGAGTTCTGCATACACTTCCTCCAGTGAAGAGTTCCCCACTGTACAACCTACAGTTTTGGGGGCTTTGAATAACAGTAGCACTTCTGCATTGACTGTGCAGAGCACAGTAAGAACCTGTGAATTCAGCACCTGCGATCATACACTACACAACACCCACTCTGAACTACCAGGTGTGGCCATGTCTACTAAGACCCCAGAGACACACTTGCTTTTTAAAGCTTTTAATGAAGAAGTACCTGATTGTGTAAGAAAACTGTCTACAACACAACTATAAACTTTATCAGCACTAATTTTTACTATTTTAAAGTATCAGATAACATCCTGCAGCAATCTTTTTCACAGTTGGTCTCTATATACATTCTTGAAGATGGGGAGGGAGGGGGGTTGAAGGAGGAAGGTGCCAGTTACTTCCCTGCAGACCTGCACTATCTGCCATAGGACTACCTAACACTTCTGAGGGAGCTTTGATAAGAATGACGGTATTTTAGCTAAATTTTTTTACTTTCACCACCTTATTATGAAAACAAGACAGATTCTGGCCTTAAGGCAGAACATCAAAGTCTAAACTTTAAGGGTTTTTTTCCACATTAGTAATATTTAGAATAGATAAATAATAAATATATATTAATTATAAGCATGTGCTTGGGTTTATAAGCACACCTTTCTTTTTAGAAAAAATTAAAACTAACTAGGTTGCGTACATATTTGCCTCTGAGCTGGTGAACATAACACAACATTCCTTCAAAATGTTTAGTTTCAAGGAAAGTTGTTTGAGTGTTTTGCTATGAGTACTGTTACACCACAAAGCCTGCACTCAGTTAAGTAAGCACCTGACAAGTAAGCCATAGCAACATTCCTGGTGGATCTGGATTGCCAGGAATACAACAGAATTGGTCTCACCTCTTGGGTATTTTGGTTTTTCAGTTTAGAATAGAGGTAACTTCCTCCTTCAGATTCCTTCGGAGAAGTATGAGATTCATTTGCTCTGCTGTTGGCAAGCCCGCTCGAGTTGCCACCACCTGTGACATTAACAGCATTAGGGCCAGCCAGGCCTACACGAGCAACCAGCCTGACCTCTCCAGGTTGCATGTTCTGTAACTCAGAGTGGCCACCTGTGGGAGCAGTGATGACAGATGCCATTATTTCATGAACGGTGTTCTTGGTGCGCACAAAGTTCTGCTGGTGTTCTACATTCCCTACTTTGTGAGGTTCTTTTGAGTGACTGTTCCTGTGGTCTTTGTTAACATCAGAGTCATGGTTTGGACAATGAGTCTTCTCAGCGTTTTTACTCGATGAAACGTGATTATGATGAAGGTGATGATCGTGGTCGTGATCATGGTCGATTTTAATCCTTTTCATTTTATCTATCCCTATGTTCTGGAGCAGTTTTCTAAACCCTTCGATCGACAGAGAGTCGTTTTCTCCATAACGATGAAAGAGTTCTTGAAGGTGAAACTTCTGTATTAATCCTGCCAAGTCAGTATTAACACCAGCTGCCTTTTCTGGAAAAGTTCTCTGTAATGTATGCACAACAGTAGCCGTCTCTACTTCATGGTGATAACTTTCACACAGTAGCATAGAAAATGACACAAGGCAAGTGACCAATACTGTACTCTCCATCGCAGCTTATTTTCAGCTGTGAAAAAAAAATCTAGATGAAAAATTTAACAGTTCGCATAAAACCGATCATACCTTCCTCTGTAATAGATGTTCATTATTTGCTTAAACAATCCCACAGAAGACCCTGGTAAAAGTATCAATGCATGGCCTCGGGCAACAGGAGGTGAAGCTGCACACCAGTGAGGTCCGGAGCGTAAGCACCCCCCAGGTGCCAGCTCACCTTTGGTTAGCTTGGCCTGAATCAGTTTTCGAACACAAGCTAAACAATGAGCACATCCTCGAGGGTGCACCAACTGAACTCTAGCTTAGGCTTTCCCTGTGCTTAAAGGAAGCCTTACAATTTAATTCCTAGCAAGCAATAAGTAGTATATATATGTTCCTGCTTAAAAAAAAAAAAAAAAAAATTAAACAGAAGCTCCCCACCTTCCACCACGGGATTTCCCAGAGCTCTTGGCAAGCCAGCCGGGTGAGTTTTCAGCACTGCACAAAAATAAAATTAAAAAAAAAATAAATAAAAAATGCTGACGCTGTCACGTTCAATCTGTTTTAACGCTGCTATCGTGCAGCTCCTTTCACGCGGCAGGCAGACCACTGCTGCGGCCCAGATGCTCACAACTGCGAGCGCTCGTGGGTTTTATTCCACAACCGCTCCCGCAAGGCCGGGCGTTAAACGGCGCTCGGGCTGCCCGCAGGCCCGGGCCGCCTCGGACCCTTTTCCGGGGAGGCGCCGAGAGCGCGGCGGAAGGCGGAGAACGCTGCGGTTTTCAGGAGAAGTATCATCGGCCTCAGAAACCCGGGCCCCGGGGCAAACCCCGCCGGCGCTGACCGGCCCCGGCCCCGGCGCTCCCCGAGCAAGAAGCGCACACGCCCGGCCGCCCACAGGCTGCCCGGGAGGAAGAAGAGAAGGAGAAGAAGGAGGAGGAGGAGGAGGAGGAAGAGGAGGAGGATGATGATGATGGGGGGGGAGGGTTGGATGGGAAGGTTACCTCTCCCGCCGCCACCGGTCCCGCCGCCGCCCACGCGCGCCCGCCGGCCGCTCCCCGCCCCCTTCCCTTCCTTTTCCGGGTACGGCGGCCATGACGGGTCGCGCCGGCGGCCAACGGGGAAGTGGGGCGGGTGTCACGTGGGGACGGCGGAGCGCGCGGCGGCGCGCGGCCCTGAGGCTGCCTGGAGGAGCCGCCCCCCGGCGCCGGGGAAGGCCCCGCCGCCCCCCCCCCCCCCCCCCCCCCACCACCTTGTTTCCGAAAAATAACTGGCGTTTGGCTTTAGTGTTGTTCGGCAGATGGCGGCTGGCTGCGGGGTGTGAAACACGCCCACGAGGGTTAAAATCAGCTGTAGGTGGGAGTCCTGAGGGAAGGCTGGAACCGTTTCCTTTGCTTAGAGTAGAAGAACTTGTTTATAGTAGAGTCCTAGTTGGTCAGCATGTTCTACTTGTATTCTTTGTCTCAGTTTCACTCGCATAGTTAAGTCGAACTGCTGGGAGGAATTCATAACGAGGTGTTTAGAAACAGCTTTTCTCCTGATAAAATTTAGGTAGACCTTAACCATTAAGTTTCCTGAGTACCTGGTAGTGGGAGCCCAGGACACCGTGGTCAAGATAAGCACCTGAGAATTAGTTTGGAGCACCCCAGGGCTGAGGAAGGGATGAGCTCACTCCGTGACCGCACATGGGCAAAGGAAACCCAGAGTTCAATCAGGGGACGCTGTGAGGAAGACTATGAAAGACCCCCAGAGGAGGAAAAGATGCTAACCCTAATTTTATCATGCATGCTCGGGCTATGTAAATAAGTTCCAGGGTATCTTATTTATATGTAGATTAGGTCTCAGAAATCCACTGAACGTGTATAACCTCGCAGCACATATTCTCTGTGGTTTGACCTGTCTGTTGGAGCACTTGTGGTGGAGCGATCCCCACTGCTGCCTAGCGCTGCTAATAAAGAATACCCGCTTAACAGCTATACTAGATTTGAACTGTTGAGTGTTTCTGTGCTTCAGTCCAGCAATACTGGCTGGGAACAAGTCATGCCGGGCTGGAAGCCCTGGTTCAGGTGAACGTGTTGGGTGTGGTAGTATTGATCTGAGGAAACACTAACCGGATAGCCCTCCCCTTCTTGGGATGCTCGCCAGATGGCCTCCATCAAAGGATGGTAACTCCTTTGCAATGGAAGGAGAAAGAACAAGACGGGCCATTGATGGTCCATATCAAAGGACCTTAACTCCCTTGTGATTGAATGGAAGGAAGACAGGATGGGCCATCTCTGGTATCTCATGTCCTTGAGATAAGAGAGGATCTAGAACCACTGAGCCATAAAGAAACAGGAGCTGCAAATTAGCACAGACTTGAAGGACAAGGTGTACAGACTACAGGACTGAATTTGCGCAGAAGGGTCAGCTAGTGAACACAGTGAAGAAGACTACGAGCCTTCATCTGAAGACCCCTGCCCACGACCTCCAGGAAGCACTGCACAAGCGCGAGGGGAGGAATTTGAGGTAGGGGGATATGTTAATGATTTCTCGGAACCAATTGTAAGATTCCCTCCCTATCCTTGGAGTAGTGATGCATGGGTATTAGAATTAGTCAATATGTAACATTTTCAAGTAATAAAAAGGAGCTGCTTTTGGCTCCAAGCTGGGCATGCATTTGGAGGAAATTATTCCCCCGTGTGCCCAGTGCTGAATAAACACACCTACTTTATAACCTTATTGGTTGTAAAGTCGTGATTCCGCACCTCAGTATCCCCTTGAGCCTTGGGAAGGGTTTTGTACGAGGATTCCCAGGGTTGGAAGGAATCTGTGCGTAGGCAGGCAAGGACTGGAATTGAACTGGTTGTAAACAAGGGGTGTGGGTAAATGGCAAACGATGTCATTTTGGGATGACATCCACTAAGGTATTGCAGTGGGCACTGTTTGGTTGAACCTGTCATTACAATTTATGATCTAGCAGAAGAAAACTGCGCTCTGTGCATGAGTGGACAAAAAGACAATAAGAAAGAACTGAGGTCACCTGGGAGAAAGGCTTGAGACGTGCTGAAACCGTGTTGCTTTCTTCTGAAAAGGCATACTGTATTTTTCAAATGTTGCTTTGCTGTACCACTTTTCTTAACTGGCCATGACCCCCTGAGTGCTGTATGGCCCAAGTTTAGGCTCTCTTACATTTCCTCTTTTTTCCGCCACCGCTTCCAGACTCTTACTTTCTACCATCACATCGATGAATACGGCTACTGTTGTGGGTGCAGTTCTGCTTACCCATCACAGCTGGCTTTGGAATTTGGCTTCTCTTGTGTGACCATTGCCAAGGTTTTTCATCTTGCTGGAGCAAGCACTGAATCCTGCCCTAGGATCTGGTTTTACTGATGGTTCCTGAATGTTATGCAAGTGACTTAACATCCAAACCATTCTCAGTCATGTTTCTCACTTGGCTGTCTGCTGCTTTTGACAGTACTACCTTTCTCGCCAGTCAGGAGATGACAGATCTATCTTCTTTATGCCTTGACTGAATTAAACCTCTTTGTGAGTTATCTGACTGAAGGACAGAAGGGAAGTATTCATTGTGAATAACTCCAGAAACAGCAACACATCAGAAAGCCAGGGATTTTTTACATGTAGTACCTTTTGAACTATTGAAAAAATTCTGTGTCCCTCAGTCTTTTTTTTTTTTTTTTTTTGTCCCCAGAGCAAGAGGGGCAGGCTGTAAAATGCAGGAGTGGGCAAGGTTTTTTTTCTTTAATGCTGGTTCATTTTGCATGGATACTGCTTACCAGAGGCCTTTGTAATATTTCAGTAACACAACATTTATGCTGAAGATGGTACTGTTAGGCATTTGACAGTTGTAAATTATTTTTTTTTCTTAAATCTTTACAGCTGCTAAATGATGGAGGCTGTTTTTCTGGCCTCTTAAATTCATCTAGTGTCTCTGGCTGCTTCATTGTGTCAGATCTGCAGTTTCCTCTCACATCCTGTCAAGGTCATTTACAGATACAAGCGTCAGATTTTAGGTCACACAGAATTGTTCTTCAGTGTTAAAATGATCTCTTTTAAAAAAAATTTATTTTGATTAGTTAACACACATCAGCTAGGGAAAAAGCACCCACTCTGCTAAAAACAGTCTACCTGAAAAACTTATTTGCAGTAAAACTTGAGGTCAGATCTGGTTTACAGTATCTGAATTCATCTCAGTAAGTTTATCTCGTGGTAAAATTAAAGCACTTCAGTCATTTTTGCTCTTTCTGTTATCCAGTGACTTAGTCTGAATACATGTCCAGTCATGAACTCTGGAGTAAGTGTGATCATGTATAACAAGGGTCTTGGTGTTTCTTGTAGATGGTTTAATGAATGTATAAAAATCTCTCAGCCTCTGGACAAATGGGAGGCATTATTTAGAGAGTCAGCAGAGAGCAAACTGGGAAGCAGTTCGACTGCTGTCACAATCCATCATGGGACTGCATCTTTACTATGGCGTGTAGCTCCAGGCCTCTATTTCAAAAAGGGTACGTTGGGAATTGAAAAGATCACCCTCATTGAGATTTTTTATTTTATTTTATTCTGTTCAGAAGGGCTTCTCAGGAGGTGATGGCCTTTTCAGCTTGGAAAAAAAGATGAATGAGGAAGAATACAATAGAATTGGAAAAGTTTATGAAATAATACCACCTGCTTAATTGTTACAACTTCTGTTGCCCAAAAATTTCTTGATTGCTTTGCATGTGTCAGGGCAAATGCTTTAGAACTTACCAGTCTGGGACCAGTAAGGAGCTGCCTGTTCATGCAATTCTAGTCTCTTTGCTTGCAATTGCTAGCTATTGCAAGGCTTCATCACAGATGTGTGGTACAAGCCCAGCATTACACACTTGACGGGGGTGATGATGAGTAAGTGGGCAGGGAAGTGGCCCTGAGCTTGGTGCTGAGAACCACTCTGTGGTGGTCCTTCTAAGCTTCGACCCCTGAAAGTTTCTTGAGATTTAATATTTCCTTGCCTTTTAACTTTTAATTGAAAATAGCTATGTGATTAGAAATATTCACTGTTGTATTAAATAAATGAAAACTCTGAAAGTTACCGAAGTGCTTGTTTTTAACTGCAAAGCTGTTACAATGCAATTTCTGGACAGATGTAACCTCGCAAAGAACTCCCATATTTTTTCTTTAAAAACTCCAGTAATCCTTTTATTCTATTAACAGCGTTTCACAACTGTAAAGAAATCCCCAAAGCAGCAATTCCTTCTGTTACTGTTCTGATAGGTTCCTCTCTACAATACCATACTGAACAACTAGTTAGCAGTTGCATATTTGATAATATTATACTCTAAGTCCTAAAGATATATTTTAATGTAGCAACATCCTTAGTTCATGTGCGTTCTATGTTGGTTTTCAAAATACTTAGAATTGCATCTGGAATAAAATAGTATTACTAGTTATGTCTGTTGAATTGCTGCAGATTTTCAGTGACCTGCAAGCTGAGCTTTGGAGATTTTTTTAATTAGCATGTTTACAGAGTAGTCATTTCTTAACTCAAAACCAGGACACTAACAGGACATACATAAACATATACCCTTCAACAAAGATGCTAAAAGTCCTTATGTAAGAATCTCCAGGACCTTCTACTGTGCTCCTGTCTCTCTTTAGTGGCTCATTCTCATGTCAACAAATTCTTTTCCATCTCAGGAATAGAGAGGTTTTAACAAAAGAAACAAGTACTTGGAAGCTGCACAGCAAGAGCATTAGATACTTTTGTGTTGTGCTTAGCTGCACAGATGCCTGGGGAAGTGCTAATTGCCAGAGTAGGGCCTTGACTCCTATAATTTGCTTACAAATCTTGGCTGTAGTCATAGAATTTCAATTTAGACCTGTTTACAAATAA